CTATGACAAAGGACAGGGTTCTACACGTAATTTATCGAGATCAGAACCACCGACCACGTCTACAAGCCAAATAGTTACCAGTGCATCTCAAAACGATAGCTAAGCATAGACAGACATCCCTAAACGTGCAGTGAACCTGAGAAAGCTCACTACAGAAAAGATGGAGGGTTCCACTTCTGAACCACATTTTGAAAAAATCAAACCATGGAGTTAGAGCACCCGACTACAATGCAAGACTAGAATGAGATTCTGAGAATGGGGCAACAAGAGGAAGCAAAAAAAAAAAAAAAACTACAGCAAGTTAGCTAGAACTTTAAGATAAGGGATATTATGTTCTAGCCACTTCAAGCCCCCTGCACCCTCACAATTCACCCATTTCCCCCTCGCCCCCATCGGCATTCTCAATCACCATCCCCATTCCCAATCGCCATCCCCATTCCCACCGTCATTGCCTTCTCCCCCCCTCTCCTCCTAGACATGTCTCACCCGTGCAACTTAGTAAGCTGCCACGACCCCCTGACTGGTGTCACCGACATCGAGCATCACGTTATTCACCGTGTGACGATCAATGCTAGCAGGGGACCCCCTTTGTTGATGCCCCCCGCGGCCATTCCTATGGCCACTTTGCCATTTCTTCTTACGATGTTGGTTTTGGGGTCCAATCGGCTCGTGGTTACTTTCAGTAGAGAAAGGCTGAGTGCTGTTATTGAAAAACACAGTACGCCCACTAGAGGTCTGGTTATTGAACGACTGGTGGTACCCGCCATTACCCCCGGGTCTGTTATTCCCGTAGAATCTGAAACCTCCACGGCCGTAGCTTGAGTTCTGGTAGCCGTAAGCCCTGTAGCCCCGCGAGGTTCCGTTCTGGCCATAATTGTGATATTGTGCTCCATGGCCACGATTGCCGTTATGGGGGCTTGGAGAGCGGTTGTCGTAATGCTGTTGCCAGTGGAAGCTATTGTTACTGCCACCAGGTCGCAACAAGTCTCCAGGCGCATCTGGCTGAGTATATTCGCA